AACGTGCCAGTACATTTGGCCAGCGCATGAGCTTGATCAAAACGGTTTCCATGCGAGAAGCAAAGTGACTTATTGACCGGAAGATGTGTGTTGTTCGTTCAATTCGAACGATTCGTCAGTTGATCACAGATAAGCGGATAACGCCGCACTACATGCAGGGTCTGAGTGATCTGGGGGGCAAGTGTGGCTGTGTGCGCAAGGCTAACATACGTAGTGCACCAGCAGTTTTTATATGAAACCACTTACAAGGATTTTCCTTCTAAAGTACAGAGGGGAAAAGCCATGGCGAGCAATAGTGGTGAAGAGTTGTCAATTTAGAAAACCATTAAATAAGCTGATCCATCGGTTAATAAATTCAAACCTTTGAGCTTAAGCTAATTTAACATAAACTTCTACAATCAATACTTACTAAGTCAACCATAACCGATCAAGAGTAGCTAAACAACAAATCCAGAAGCATTGTGATTTTGGCAGAATGTCGTACAATGCTAGTGAAACATGCGAGCTTTTTTTCGTGATCCTATCGATCCTATGGATGACTGAAAAAGGTAAAAGTAATACACAAGGTTCTTCCGTTGGCCCCTCAAAATACCTTCATCATGAAAAATTCATCACTTTCCGAGAAAACCCTTGCACTGATAATAAATGTCGCTGATGCATGATGGGACTCCGAAAGCCACAGTGTGGTCGAGAATGGGTGTTTAGGGTTGCGATTGATCACCCTTCCCGTGCACCTCGCGAAATGCTCCCATACGACCAAATGTCTCAAATAGCCTCAGCCGAGGAAGCCCTACTCACTGCCTTATCGTTTGGCGGAGGTGTTTTCCCACCAAAGTGAGAGGACGAAGAGCTGACATCCGGAGCTATAACCGGGTTGGTGGACCACCGGTAGTTCACCTAGAGGAGTTGGCCAAAATCCCTGATTCCAAACCAACCATGAGGAGGCGTACGAACCACACCCACACCTTTTCGGTTGTGGCAATGGTCACCGACTCAATTAGGCATTGAGGTGTATTGGACGTTTGATCCCATCCAAAGGGCGTATGATCCGATGAACTGGACACCGGCCCCCAATGAACTGCGGTTTTGACACACCACTACACTGCTTTGTGAATCAAGCTTTGGCTGCGGTTGCGGATTCCTCAAGAAAATTAACCTGTTTTGGCCTGAGCAACCTGTCAGTGTTCCAGCCACATACAAAGATTATTTTGTCGTGATTTATTTGGCACAGTCTGGATTCAGACCCGTGTGAAAATATAAATATATATTATGCGTGATCGGGCAAATCAGTCTCAACAAGCATCAATCGATTGACTGCTGATTACAGCCATCGAACACAAGAAAATCACGACTGAACCGTTTCATTCATATGGATCAATATGAAATGGGACAATCGGATTCAGAAATGACTGTCAAGGTGTTCTGCATATCCCATTTGGTTTCAGGAAATCAGTAAATAATTCATTTGGTTGGTATGCCACGAATTCGAGGGAGGGTTGTTATCTGTAATTTATATCCGCGATCAGTGTGTGATTGCTGCCTGTCGAACAGAATAAAACCTTTTTCATAGCGTATCACTCAGACGTCTAGGTGAAACTCGATACAACGGGATTACACGATTTCCCACGCACGGAGAAAAACGCATTCATAATTCTCGTGATGAGTCATCGGTGCATGCATGCATCTGTATCTCGGATTCTATCACAAACGCACAGGCAAAGATTAGGACCGAGGACGTTTGGACTGCGCCAGATATATTTGCTTGGTCAAGTATCCCTGCCCTAGTGTTCGCAATCTTTGAGCCTTTGATGTGGAACAAGCACAGAAAATGACTACTGAGCTGCGTGTTTGAGGCAAGGAAGCGTAGGAACGGAGTCGCAATACAAGCTGGTCGAAATCGCGGGCACAATGCCAAGGACCACAACGATTCGGAACGCAGTCAGAAAGGAGAACACTGGTTGCGTCGATCGGTGAATCGATGTGTCTCCCTCTTTCTCTCTGCGTTGATGAGCGCAACAAAGCAGTTATCTATAAGCCTGGTCTACTGCAGAATGTGCGTTCATTTAAAATTGTTGATGTATTCTGATCCAGTTGAAAACAGACATGAAAGTTGATATTCCCTCCGTCCGACCCTCTCTCTAACACAATCACACACAGGCAAGCACGCGCATACACACACACGCACACACACTTGTTTGAGTGGCATCCTTTGCAGTCGATAGGATGAATGTAAAGGACAAGACGCGGCTTAAGCAGGGCCGTGTCCAAAATCTGGGTCAACATCTCGTGACTTCGGAAAAGGGGCCTACTTTTCGACATCACGACGGGATAGCGTTTTTGTCCGCGGGAATAAACTCTATCAAACGAAACGAACTGAACAAAGGTGAGTCACTCATCCACATATATATGAAAACGCGACGGGAAATTTGCTTTCCCTTTCACGGTAATTTAGTAATTCTGGAGTGATAGCCGCTTGGCTTATGGCCGTTCTTTAGCGTATCAGCACAACCCATTGGTTTCGGTATCGGTGGTGGGTACAAATAAGAATGGTCAAAAATAGGCTAGGTGTGGCGTACTGTCAAAGGTGCTAAAATGACCATACCCCGGGGAACAACAAGGTAGATGAGCAGACCACCATTGCTATGCTACAACGGTGTATCCCAAGTCATGGATTCTACTCAGGATCATGAACTTTAGTTCAAAGTTCATTTGATGGCACGATACAAAGAAATTATGTTATTTTCATGATGGATATTTATCAAAGTGAGTCAGCACGGTGAATGTTACAATGCAAAGGGGTTATGGCCACCGAAAATACGTAAAAACTGATTGGGATGGATGGCGTAAAATTATTCTTGCTCGAAAAGTCACGGGAACTCAGAAATGACAAAAAGAGAGCACACTCATAAACATGTCATTTAACCTAACCCTGCAATCACATCCCATTGTAAAACAACCACGGGGGTTATCAGTATTGCACGAAATACTTGTGAAGGAAAGTTGATTCGGTTTAATCACCTGATTCACTATCATCCTTCAACCTTTCTATCTTTTCATCTACCGTATGAACGACCTAGTCATTCGGGTCAGGGTTTTAGTCTCAAGTTATACCATATCAAACATTTATAACTTAGGTTTGGTCGTTTTTTTTGGCTGTCCAATTTGACAGAACAGCAAATCGTGTTATAAAGCCTCAAGCAGCTATTTGGAAAACCGGCTTTTTCACCTGTGTGGTTTTTCCTCAGGCGGGGTTAGCATGACGATCAAGCACAGACCAGGTCGAGGTTAAGTCAACCCAACCGAACAGACCAAAGGTAAACATTTTACGCGACAGGTATTTTAGTCAACTCTAATATGAACCGCATTCGCTAATCAGGAATGATCGTATTGTTCTGTATTCGTATGTTGTATCAAATCTCGTTTCTATCGCACACATTATTGTGTGATGAACAACAGATGAAGTAAACCCCGTAGTTATGGGGACCTACTGTTCAATCATGACAACCGACAACCTAAGCCCTCTCAGATTTGATGTGGCGAGCTACATGAGGTGTCAGCAACCCAACTGAATCGGTTGACAGCGAAGCTGTCTTCCACCAAAGTTGGTTAGGGTAGGTGGTGGAGGTTTGAGATCTCACACCCTAGGGACCAAAGCGCATCAGTGCCAGCAACTGAAACCGACTTACCAAAGTAGAAAAAAAGATTATGGATAATCGAGCGGGGATACGCAGTGCGTTAACTACTATGCAATCGGGATCAAGCTGTTCAAACCAAGATCTACAAGTGAGCCAGAAATTAAATGATGCAATAGGCATGCATCAACACAACAACCGGCTCCCAGAAATCAGCTCACTCTAGATAATATTATTTTAAAAACATGAAAGAATTTTTCGAAGAAATAGACTTGTTTCCACTTATTCCATCGAAATCAGAAACGCAACAGATAAATCAGTCAGTATCTGAAGACATCGTTTTGCAATCCAGAGGTCTACGATTAGGATTCTAGCGAGGATGGAACAGCTGTCCAGCTCTGTTTGTTGACCTTGGCACAATCTGCAACGGAGCACACCGAAAAGAAAAAAAGACAGTATTGTTCCTCATCTACCAAATCTAACTTGGCTCACTAAATCACAACGTTGGAAACCTATTCAAAACGGCCCAGATATTCCAGTTTGAAGCTGCTAGTACGAGTACTGAAATTTGTACTTTAACGATTTGAGAGACCAGAGGTACGGTGATCATGCATTTATTGGTGGTTCTCTCTCAACGTTTCCGTTTTACGGACATTACTAACCTCTACCCGCTGCGCGGTGAGTGGTTTTGCAACAGCTACCAGATAGAGTTTAATGTTGATTTGAAGATGCAAATGGTACAAAATACCTTCGACCTTGTCCGTAGGTGGTCAAGGCGAATAACCGTGAGTTTGTATAAAGTGACATCTAGGCCGTAGTTAGGTAACGTGTATGTGTGTGGTACTGGACAGCACGTGATTTAAGACGTCCCCACAAAGGCAAAGACCTCGAGAGGCGGTAGAATATTCAAGACGGATAATTATGACCTGCACAGTGAAGTAATCATGATTAGATAGATATTTGTTCACTATAATGCCCGTTCATCTGAAAATGTTGGGGAAGGTATCCATTGGAGAGTACACCAAATATATGCTGAGCGTTGATGCGTGGTACACGAGTACACGCGATATGCAAGAACTCAAGCGCATAAACTATAACAAAAAAGTTCATGTTTTATACTCGCTTCTGATCGTAATTATTGACGGGCAGGATCATTTTACCGAGACGATTGCACATTGAGCGGAACCAGTGTGGCAAAATATTCCTCTATTTAAATTTGTAAGCATGCATTTGCGCTTCAACTGTGTTTTCAGGCTGTAGATAAAGGACACACATGTTTACCATCTATTCCTTTTGTATTTAATGAAGGTGCACTAGTTTAGCAAATTCGCAATAAGGATACTGTTGATCATTTGAGTTTGTTTGGAGTCATGTCAAACTGGGTAAACTGAACGGCTGTGGTGGTGGTGGCTGCTGTTGCTGGAATATGAAATGAAACGAACACCGAGCCCTTGTGAACTACACGTCTACAACAGTGGCTGCTGGTGCACATTATTTGAAGGATTTTGACCAACTGAGGCAAACATGATGACTTGGGTCACAACGGACCACTTCGCTGCTCCGGAATTATAAACTTTCTTGTTGTTCCCATTGTCGAGTAGCCATTGGTTTTAGTTTGGTTGTCTATAGAATTCTTCTAGTAGCAACTGGTTGTACTTTAGTATCCGCAGTCGAAGCTAGAATAAACACACCGTTCCGATACACCTCGAACGCATAAGGTCACAGCAGCACGTCTGAAGTTTTGACCCAGTTCTTTAACTGGATAGCCTAACGGGACTTACGTGAACGTTTCCTACGCTAATCAGAAGAATGATCAGGATTAGATTTCACACCACTTCGATGCTCAACAAATAACTGGCTGATAGTTCTAAAAATCTCCCGAATGTTCAATAAACGCTAAACTGAATCTGTTGCGTGCAACAGGTGAAGTGTATGAGTGAAAAATGACCAAATGCCTGTTTGTAAAACAAACCTGACATAAAAGCACGTCAGTTACAGTTTTTACACCCACTAACTATATGCACTTTCGTGCGCCGGTTGTGGTTGCTGTCTATTGACTGTCCATTTGAATAAAAGAGTAGAAGAATGAAACGTCTTTAGCAGTCTCAGAGAAGACAGAGAGTTTATATAAACTGGGGTTGCAGGAACACTGAGTAGATGCACAAGCGCCACTGTTCGCGACACAGCCATATCACTCAGTGTCTCTAACCCCCGGTTAGAGTCTCCATCCAGGGAGCCTAACGAAACCTATATGACCGAGTCGCTTAGCCGATGTTCTTTGACAGTATTATCTTTCGGGATACTCTGAATATAATTCCTTTCTAAATTTAAAGTTTCGCTCACTTTTTTTCCAACAACACCTACTGAAAGGATACCGAATTTGATTATTAAATGTGTTGTAAGGTGAAACATGTATGACAACATGTTCAGTTGTCAGTATGGTTTCACACACAGACCCGTCGATGACCCAAAGCACTGTTGTCGAAAGGAAACACCACTCTCGCGTCTATTTGTTCCGTTGCCACTGTTCAAGAATAATTCTTGCAATATCTGTAAAAAATCAGTGTTCATTTTATCACGACATATAGTGAGTTTTCGAGAAATTGTTCAGATTTGCTAGCCTATTTTCTTGAGTACCGAAACGAAATTTCGTAATACAGAGCATCAAAACTTTCGCTCATATTCCTCCTCATTGGCGTAGGAAACTTGCACGCAATTCAAGACAGGCTACCAAGTTACACAATAAGCTAGGTAACCTTACTCGCTAGAGGCATGTGTTCGCGAAAGGTGTGGGTTATTCTAACCTCGATTGTTTACGCTAAAGTAAGTCCAGTTGCTACCAGACGACTGCCTTGAGGAGAATAAGCGATTGCTAGAGGCCACTAAATGACGGTAGTAGCAACCGCATGAACACCGCCGCCTATGCAGCACTGAAATTAATTTAATCTCTGGATTCAACAGCTCCTACCAAACAGTAATTTACATGACAGAAAACAGTTAGATACTCCTCAGTTCCGATTTATTCATTGAAATACTGAGCGTCATTTGACATTAAAAACTCAAGATAGCTAATACACATCAACTGAACCTGTTTCTACGATTTCATTTATCTCACAAACTATTCTGGTGGACTTATCAGTTAGCTTACACGACACATCCCCGGGAATCCTGTGAAGCAACTGTTGCTGCTTCTTTATCCACCAACCAAATGTATGACTACACATCTCAACGCGCGATACGTTAGAAGAAATGCGGTGAAACTTTACTCGGAAAGAACGTGTTCTACATCTGAGATTTTACCGCCAAGACGGAATAAAAACGACTCTTGAAACGAGGACATGAAGGACCGGGAAGCTTGTGAGCAACAATCATCCGATCACCTCATATCTGTCACCAAACATCTTTTTCTCTATGGCCATCATTATGAGTTCAATATGTGCCACTTACTTGCTTTTGTAAACCCGGTATGAGGCGAGACACAGTACAAGAACTTCGTTTGTGATTCCATGACATCACTCACTCGCGCATTCATTTCTAACCCTGACTTTTATGGTATCCTATAATGATGATGATGATGATGCATTCCGATCTTTTACAAGATGCTTTTTATCAGCACTGTGTTTATATCGAAAATTTTCCATTTTGTAGATCCATACTAAAAAAGCGCAAGCCAGATGAGTTTATTATCTACCCCATATTGATCATTTGCGTCATAGGCATGATTAACACAACTAATCCGTCCGTAATCGAGATCTGGCCTCACAGCGATCGATTCGATTATCCCGTTAGGGTATTCTGCCCAGACAGTGGGGTTCCCACACCGATAGCTTCTGTACATCCTAGTTTGGTCAACATGTAGCCGCATTGGGTCGAGTTAGAATGAAAGCTGTCGGTGAACACTTCTATATAGCTCTTTGACCCAGACATCATCTTATATACGGTCAGGAAAAACTTGCCCAAAAACACCATGCGGAAACCAGACAAGCATCATTTGTGTTGGACACCAAATTTATAGACTCATTTTCACACAGTTAAGACGGAATTAATGCATCTGATCTACGTGACGTGTTTCGAAAGTCTCTGAGCAATAATGCCCCCAACCGAAGCAGCGGTATCGCGGTCGGCCAGTACTCATTACAGGTGGGCTCAGTATTTAACTGAACTGTTCTTTGTCAGCTCAAACCTTTCCTTTTTCATTAATCAACTACCCCCCCCACACACCCTCGGTTACCGCTTAGATTGCGCATCCGCGTCATTATCAGCTCAGATGATATCACGTTCGAAAGATTGGAATACAGAGAACAGTGCGTTACGTTCTGTGAGATATATTTAAGCTGAAGTATCCTGGATGTCTCTAGAGTACTTATGAGTTAGTTACATAAGAGCACCAATGACCGTGTCGTAGTCTAAGGTCAGACTACGAATGGAAAAACATTCTACACATCACTGACCTGCTGAAGACAGCAGACTACCATTTCTTCTACTATTTTGTGAATATCATTGTCAGTCGAAAAGCTATCATTGTGGATGATTTGGATATTGAACGCAATTCCGTGTCTACGTCAATCCGTGCTTCTGACTTCACTCGACCGTATTATTACACCCGCAGTACTTCACTTATTGCAAGGATAGGATGGAACGGCGAACCGTGATCAAGCGGTGAATTTTGGTCAAGGACATTCGTGCGTATTGGACTTTCAAGTTTCAAGGGCTTGCCCAACC